TCACTGTTATTTATTCCAGTTGCTGCTGCTGTTTCTGAGCCCTAGTAGTCGCAGGCACAAGCTGAAAAACTGGTACTGAGAGATCATGTCCCCAAAGGCTGACATAAAGGCAACCCCAGGCTGGCTGACAACAGCAGCAGCTAAAAACATAAAATGGAAAGAAATCTGCCTGAAAATGGAAAAAGAAGGTGCAGCAGGGAGGAAGGGGATAATGTGCTGAATTACAAGGAGTTTGTGCATCTTTTATTGCATGCTATTAAAATGTTATTTTATCTTTACATAATTCATTCACTGTTTTGGAGCTCTAATGGAAAAGGAGTTGATACCCCCCATAATTACCCTGTGATATACGCAAGCTATGGGCCTGGTACCTAAGGTGTGGGCTTGAAATGAGTTACGCATGACACACACCAAATGGGTGTCAGAGGTGGGAAGATAATTACAGGACTGTGCTCATTGAATTTTCATGTCAGATCCCCTCCCTGGCCCTTGTGCTCTTTGATACCCCAGGAAGAACAACTACCTCCTTAGGTATTCCCAGTGCTTGTGATTTCCCGCACACCTGGGGTTTCTGCCCGTATTTTGCAGGTTTGGTTCCCTACTAAGTTAGCGTCACCTGCCGTATTGGATTCAAAACGTGAAATGTTGCTAGGGTGGGTTTCCTATGGACGTCTGACATGTGAGTGGCACATCCTGCAAAAGTTTGGATGACCATTTTAAGTGTTCAGTTCATGCTATACTTATGTCCTTGGGGAAAACACCAGAAGAATCTCTAACCTCAATCTAGCTGCTGATTTTCATGAACCTTGCAGGAATACAGCATCTTTGTGATCTCATTCCTCCTCTCAAATTTAGTTGAAGTTGGCCACGTTCAAGTGTGAGCACTGACAATGGCACAGACGGATGCAGGGAGCTTACGTTCTCATAAGCTCTGTTTCCTCTAAATCATCTTTCCAACTATCTGGTATATGTTGAAGTCAGACTGTGAAGCTACCACCTCACTGCAGCAGCTGCAGCCAGCCAGCTCCAGCTTCACCATTCAGGACTTGTTTTATGCCAACTCCTCTTTCCCCCATTCTGACTTTCAAGCTCCCTGCCATTTGTTGTGCCTCGTGCTGAAGCTGGAAAAATCACAGGAGGAAAATGCCCATCGCCAGCCGCTGACTCACAGAGCCAATCTGCAGGTTCCTCCTGCTTCATTCAACAAGCACGCACGGGACGGGCACTCGGCCATAACCCTGGCGCTTGCAGCTGCTGCTGCTCTTCAGTCTTACTGAGAGGTGTTTAAAAGAAACACCATAGGTCAAATGCTGGCTGCCAAGCAGGGGGAAAAATAGAAAAGGAAAGAGTTTTGCTTCTGTGACAAAATAGTGAGGGTGATGTTCTTATCATGCTCAACTGCAGGCAGAAGGATAGGAGCTCAAGTCTCTGCATGATGCAGATGTTTAGGACATGGCCATACAGCCCTTCCAAAGTTAAGAGGGCTTTGGGGTTTCAAGTGAGTTGTCCATCCCAGTGATCATAAGAGCAGGCTCAGCCTGTAAGGCAGCGAAGTCCCCCGTGCCACCCTTAGCATGCAGAGACAGTGATATTTGGTGTCTGTGGGGTCAGTGTGGGCTACAGCCTGTCCCATATCGATAACAGGGCAGCTAGACAAGAGCAGGTTCCTGAAGACCACATGGATGGAAACTAGCAGGGCCAGATGAGAGCAGGGATTTCTAGAGCTGTGAGTCTGTCACCCACCCTGCTTGATGAGGGATGTGCAATTAGTTTATGTGTGTATTAGTCCATCTTATTTTACCATGGGCTGCTTAATAGGAACTTGACATAGCCACCACCATTCAGCAAAGGAACTTAAAAAGTCCATAACAATTGGATATTGCACTGTGGTTTTCTCCCAGAAAACAGGGTGAGGGTAGTCATATGGGATTCACAAGGTCCAGGTAAACTGTACTTGTGATTCAGGGCAGTTGGCTATTTCACTAGCCTTGCACTAGACCCCACCTTCTTCTTTCAAAGATCTTAAGGAGGTGCACTTTCATCTTAGGGAAGGGTGTAGGACTCCAAAGGAAGGATGACCAAATAACACCTTCTGGTATCTCATTTCTCTCCATCAGTTCGATGTCTTTCCTCAATGCCTACGGAGCTGCTTTCCCTCTAACCCTCCTGTACGTTCTTCTCCACTGTGATAATTTAAAGTGCTCTCCTTGAGCAAACTCTCTTTTCTCTCTTCAGACAGATACTTTAGATTTATTCTCTCCATGATAATGGAAGGATGGTACAAGTGATTATAAACAGCTCTATGTCCTCTGTTATTAGTTGATGTTCATCTGTTTACTTTTATTTTAAAAAAGAAAAAAGAATACAAATCAGAAGTCACTTGAAAGACACACATGCAGGTGGTGCATATGGCAGCAGATTAAGTCAGGCATCTCCTCACTGGAAACCTTTAGGTATAGACTGGGTGGAACAACAGAGATTTTTATGACCTTAGCCAACTCATTTTCTCTCTCTGTGTAATCATTCTTGGGTAGTAAACTTTCTTTTGAGCAATAGAATCTGTCTGTCTTTGTTTAGGTTAATGGTGGAGGGACTGCCTCTTACTGTGGACAAATGTATCATCTAAATAACAGAGCACTTGGTTTCAATGTAATTGTACATTTTATGAATTACATTCTTAAGATGGTTGATAGTTCTTAGTTTCCTAGATGTTTTCAACCATTTCTTGTGCCTTGTTACGCTGGCATGTATGAGCTACTGGCTTTTGTGCCAGAGGGTATTGGTAGAACGGAATGGATATGGAGTCTTCTAAGAAGTGACAGCAGAAACCTAACAAAAATAGCTTAAACACTGATGTTACACAGAGAGAACCTTAAATGAAGAACTAGGGTGTTTTGTAGTTAGAAAGAGGAACTACCTTAAAAAACACCCTCAAATTCAGAAGAGGATTAACTCTTTCAAGACTTCTATCAACAGTTTACCAAGTTTTTGGTGTCAGCAGGAGGGATAACCTGGTACATTCCTTATGCCCTTGCTTTCCCATTACAGTTTATCGAAGGCTTCTAAGTAGACTTCAGAGGGTTAGAGTGATGTCAGAGTAACTTTAAGCCATTTAAAAAACCTTCTGAACAAAATGTTCTGATGGATCCCACCATTTCACAACTGCGTCATGCAGTGTTTTGCTGGCAGCATTGGTTGAGTTTGTGCCAGACAGGAATTTATGGAACTTGTAATTTTGTGTTACAGTTGGCTTGATTAGCAATGTATCTGGGAAATGTGTGCCTTTCTATGAACTGTACCCTCCTCTGTCTCCTGCTCCGAGATAAAAACAAGTTTAATTAGCTGCTTTTTCAGTGGATCTATTGTTTACCCTTGTACGTTGCATATAATCTGCTTCAGAGCACTATCAGTGAAGAGTAATTCACAACCTCCCTGGAAAGATAGTGGATAAAGATATCTATCCTTTCAGCTGGAATTTTGTCCTAGATCTCTGAAATATATAAATACATGTTTACAAGTAGTAAGGATGAAACTTGTACTGTTACACTTAGCAACCATGGAGAAATTGTACTCTCTGTAACAGTTGTGTACAGATGTGAAGGCTTATATGTACTTCTGTAATGATGAAGTGGTTCACTCCTCCTGACGCCAGAGATTTAGCTCCCCAGATGTTTTCACTGCGTGTGTGTTAATGCAGTCCCAGGCTTCAGTCTGAATTGAAGCAAGTAATTCCCTTTGTAGGGA